TTGGAAATTAATTTGAGTTTTTTTTCTATGTTTCTAGAGATATCAACTACTAGTTGTTATTATTTCACCAAAGAAAAAAAACTACTAGTTGTTATTTTTCTCTATATAACTTTCTTATCAACTAGTTGAGCTTGTCAATCTTCTATAATATTCTCGATTAATACAAATATTTTGTGTTAATTGAAATGTATATACTCTACCGAGTATACATCAAATTTGTTGCCGTTAATCTTCTTTCTAAAGGTAGGTAATTGGTTTGACCTTTGGATTAAAGATTAAAGGAGACTTCTAATTTCGACATTAATGATTACATTTCTCTAATTGAAGCAGTGAATGTTACCGTCATAATTGTGACCGACATGTGTGCTTTCTCTCAATCCTCTTTACACGCGCTCAAGTAAATTTAAATTCTCTTTTGTATAAACTCGTACTTAAAGGTATTAAATTAATCGGACCAAGCCCGTACTAGTTTTGATGTAATGTCAGAAAGTGAAGGTATTGAGAATCGAAGTTAACGATTAGACCAAGACGATTACGGTAATGTTTTTGATGAACTTGATTGTGATTAAAATAGTAGAGGTATGAGATTATGTGATTTAAAATCAAATCCAGAGAGAAACCGTATTTGATTTGTTTTGAAACAGAATCAATCCGAAAAACACAGTCAAAAACTCAAAAAGTCTGAACATAATTTAGAGACACAAAACCAATTATCCTAAGAACATCATAGAATGGCGCAAGGAGGATTCATCGCCACTGAGAAAACTTTGATTCATCGCCACTGAGAAAACTTTGATTCATATTCAAAGGTCTTGCACACTCAAACCTGAAATCAATGCAACAGAGTCCAAAACTCAGAATTCAGACACAAAACACATCATAACAGAGTCTATATGAGAATCAAAGATACATTCATGAAGTCTAAAACCCATATGCCAAAAATCCACTATTCTTAGGCTGCAAGTGTGAGAATTTGTAAGGTTCATGAAAATATCTAACTAACTAAAGACCTTTCAAAGCCATGTTTAGGACCCATAAGCCAAAATGCAATCTTGTTTAGGTTATCAAATGATACAAAGAGTGAGAATTTGTGCAGTGTAAACCAAAAAATTGAGTTGAGTTAAGGTTATTACCTGGAGGAAGAGACTGCTTAAGCTTGTCAGCTTTCTCTTTGTCGAAGACACAAAGAGTGTAGAGGTACCTTGAGCATCTGACCTTGAACTTGACAAGTTCCTTGCTTCTCTTGATCTTCACTGATCTAGCATCTTTCCTTCTAGCTGTTAGAAGGAAGTCCTTAATCTCGTGAATTTGCTTCGGCTGCAGATTTATCACAATCATCATCATCAATCAATGTTCAACATTTCAAACTTCTTTCCGCAAGAGAAGATTTTCAATACAAAATTCAAATATCCAAAATTGATAATAATCCTCATGGATTTGCTTAGGCTACAGGTTTACTCAATCATCATCAATGCTCAAACTTTCTAACTATAAACTTATTATTAGTAAGCAAATCAACAG